GGGGGGGGGGGGTCGGGCCCACCCTAGAACACTTATCTCCTCAAATGTATCTGTTCCAGTTCTGGCCACAGGAGACTCACCTCTTGAGTGATACCTGCTGGGCCTGTGGTCAGCTTGGAAGATGGTTGAGAGTGAAGTATTTGGAAGCAGAGCCTTGGTTCAACCTCTGCTCTGCCACTAAGGAGCTGTATAGCCTTCAGCAAGTTCCTCACTGTGCCTCAGTTTCCCCATAGGTAAAATGGAGAAAATAATAGCATCTTCCATGGGGGGAGTGAGGGTTAAGATAAGCCTTGTGACACGCTCAGTGCAGGGCTTGGTACATAGCAGGTGTTAAAGAAATGTTGGCAGCTTCCCCTTCTGGAGTGTGTGTGTGACCATGTTTCTGGTGTTGGCGTAACCTTAGACCGTCGCTGAACAACCTGCCTCAGTGATGCTCAAACCACACAGGTGATCTGGGCATCCCCCAAGGTGGGCAGCACGTGGAATGTTAGGCGAAAGGCACAGTTGCTTTGAAAGGCATATTCTAAATTAACCATTGCCTAAGGTTTTTAAAAAACATTATATTAAAGTTTAAAATAATATAAAAGAAGGTACAAGATTTCATGCTTTTCTGAGAGGGGCCAGGCGTTCAAAGCTTTTCCGATTCTTGAGGCATCTCGGGTCGTGTTCTGATTTTTGTCCCCCGATTTCGAGGCATTCCATGTTCATGGTCTGTGGCAATTGACACGAAGGTGATTGACAGCATCGGTGCTGTTAAAACCGGCTCACGGGGGAGGGGACAGGTTCCACTGCCTTCCCCTCTGCTCCCCAGGTCACAGACCTCCTGGTGGACGAGTCCAGTTTCACAGGAGAAGCTGAGCCATGCAGTAAGACGGACACCCCGCTGACAGGCGAGGGGGACCTCACCGCCCTGAGAAACATCGTCTTCATGGGCACCCTGGTCCAGTACGGGAAGGGGCAGGTACGCCCTGGGGCGCCCGGAGGCCTCGGCTTCTATCGAAGCAGCTTTCCAGCCTCAGGCCTCACGCTTCCCTCTGTCCTGAACACAGGGAGTCGTGATCGGAACAGGGGAAAGGTCTCAGTTCGGAGAAGTGTTTAAGATGATGCGGGCTGAAGAGGTAAGGGCGAGGGGGGGCTTTGGTTTGCTTGTGAGCTGGGGTTTGAGATTATTCTTGGGCAGTGATACCGGCCCTGCCCACCCACGAGGAATGAGGGTCATGTGGTTAATGCGAGTATGCTTTTTAAAAACTAATTTTTATTTTAAGACATTTGTTAGGAGTTTTGTCAAGATACAACTTACAGACAGTAAGATGCACAGATATTAAATGGAGAAGTCAGTGAATTTTTGCATGTGTGTGCCCCTGTGTAGTTGTCACTCAGCTCAAGATGTAAACGAGCCAGGCAGGAGCTGTGGGACGCTGCTGGGATGTCATCTAACAAACCCATTGTTCCCATCCTTTCAGACACCCAAAACTCCTCTACAAAAAAGCATGGACAATCTGGGGAAACAACTGACGCTGTTCTCGTTCTGCGTAATTGGTGAGTGAAGCAGCTTCTGCACTCGGGCCTGGCGCCTGGGGAGAGCCGTCCCGAGCAGCCACGGCTGTTTCTCAAAGAGCCTGCTGCTCACCTGGGAGGGGATGCGGCTTGGGGATCGGAGACTCTCTGGCAGTGACAAAAGGCTTCTGTATTAGTCAGACTAGACTAACTGGTAACAAGCAGCCCCTGCATTTTAATGACTTAACATGGTCGAAGTTCATTTGCTCACATCATAGTCCACGGGCATGTTCTCGGCCTGGTGGCTTTCCTGGACAGCTCACCTCCAGACGCCGGCTC